TGCACTGACGAAGAGAAATTTGTGTAGGCAGTCAACTTTTTGAGTGGGTAGGTCTGAATCTCGTGCACATCCTGCAGTTAGCAGAGTTATGCGTCCCTCAAGGGCTGCGTGCATTGGCGAATGCAGCAGCAAGCTCGACATCTGGGCTCCGTTACAGGATTCTTGACACTGGATTCAAAAGGAATCATGGAAAAGCAGACGGGGCTGTGATGCGGCTCATACGAGAGGCCCAGCAATTTTGGAAATGCAGGGGTTGCTGGCGAAACACTTCTATATTTCAAGATGTGGAAAGAAATACAAGCCAAAATGAGAAAACAAACAGAAAAATGAATGTATGCTAAGGATGGTAAGGCAAGTGAAGCAGGGTCAGTGACACTCACCACCACAGCCAGTAATCCGTCACCGAGCGTAAGTACTAGATTATGTGCCAATGTTAGACACAAGATGCCTGCGATAGACAGTTATGAAAACAGGTCATTAGGTCATCAGGTCATCATTAGGTAATCAAAGATAAAAGTCCTATTCCATTTTTTCTGATTTACTCTCCACACCCATTTGCTTTTGTGTTATTTGAGTTCTAAAGCCTGTATATGCTGCAGTCAGTTCCCGGGTCTGTGGCTGTTCTGATCAAGGTTTTCCTTTTGAAAGCACACCAAAAAAAAAAAAAAAAAAAAATCCCAAACAAAACCAACCCCCCCCAAACCCCGAAGAGGCATATTTACAGTTCTTCAGACCATAGGTTTTGCTTGGGAAAAATAAGAGCAACTTTATAAATAGGCTTTGTTCTAAGCCAATCTAAGAAAAAGGGAATCTTATATTCCTTTAGGAAGATGGTAAGGAAATACTAAATATTGGGTTTGTTCTTAACTCTTTACCTACTAATGCCTAACATGCTATTTGCTTTTCTAGCAAACATCTGTTACGTCTTCACAGAATTATCTGTTACAGCTCCAGCATCTCCTCCAGACTAATGCAATGTAGTTTATTGTCCACCCTCATTACCCATGACATAAACATGAGGCCTGCTTTTTCCCCTTCACATGTGTTGCGGGAGCACATGCTAACATCTAATACACTTGGTATTAACGCCGTATTTCACCTGCTGGTTTTATTATCCTGTCACTTCAGGCTGCAGGTTGGCTTTGCAGCTCTTTGCTGTTCACTCTCATCTTTCTTGCAGCACCATGCACCACTTTATTTCCAAGACACTTACATGTATATTAGTCAGTCTTCACTAGCCATTAACCCCTTCTCCTAAGATAACCTATGGGATTTCATAGGTGATTTTCCTCCACTGGTGAAACTGGTGACTAATTCCTATTTCGTTCCTGTATTGTTAACCAGCTATTTATTCATGCCAGGCCTTTAAATGATGACTCCTTTCTTTTATGAGAAGTAGATTAGGCCGAGCTCAAGTAGACCAGAACTACCTGATCTCCTTGACCTTCATGTTGACTGATTTCTCTGAAGAATATTTACAGGTCTGTGGAACAGGATTTCCTCTTGTGAAATTGCAAGCCCTATTTAGCCATTTGTCCAGCAACTCTTGGCTGTACCGCAGCTCCTACCAACTTGCCACGTGGACAGTACTGCTCTGAAGTTCCCTGTATCTCCACAGAATGCTTTCTGAAAATTAGTAGTTGCGACCTTCCATCCCCCTAGCACTAAGGCAGTTTTAAGTGAAAAAATATAAAGTATGGTTCATAGTTCAGCCATTTCATCCTTGAATTCCCTTAGAACTCTTGGATGAATACCATCTGTCCTGTCATTTTGTTTCAAAACCTTTTACACTTGGATTTGAGACAGATGCTCCACCATGCCTCTCCCATTAAAATGTTCTGTCATGAAAACTTCCTGAAGCTCCACTACAAGGTTAAAAAAAAAGAAGTTTTCTTTTCCTGAAATCTTCTCTAGGCATTGCTACTATATCTTCATCATCTATGGTCCCTAGGACTGCTTGGCAGGGCTCCTGGTTCTGATGTGTTTGAAAGTTGCTATTAATCCATGCGTTTTCTCCCATTGCCCTGGATGCTATTTTTTCCCTGCCACATGTTGGTGCATCTGGCCTCTTGGGGTGCAGGTTTCTTCTGGTTTACTGGTTTAGAAATAGCTTCCAATATTTTAAAGACTGCTTTCCTACATTTGTTATTTTCTCATACCTGCTCTTTGTCCACCTCAGTCTTATTTTTGGTGGTCTTTTGCTCTGCTTTACTGGGCAGCATGCCTGTCTGCTGGACCTCTAATGCAACGTGAGCAGTCTCCCTGATGCCTGCAACCATTTTGGGCGTCCCTTTTAGTTTTGATTTGAGACAGACCTCCCAGTTCACCTCCAGTGAAAGGTTTCTCGTGAGTAATTTCAGAAGATTGTCCATATTGAACACGGATGTGAGAAAGGAATTCAGCTTTTCTTCTATGGCCTTATCTTTTTCTTAACATTCCTGTTGCACTTTGATCACTTCCTAGTCCTTCCCAGCGCTAGTTCTTTCCCTGCTCACAGATGGGCATTAGCTGAACCCCCCTGACCTGACATACCGTACTTTTTAAAGCTTCATTTGAAAGTAGTCATTTCCACGTGCTCTTTTCCGTTCGCCTTTAATCTATATTCGACATCCTTCCTATCAAAAGGACAAAATATGATCTTAAAAACATTACTAATTATCTTTAGCTGTGACATCATTCTTAATGGATAGATCAGCTTGATGCAGAGCTTTGCCTGGGCTTGCTGCAGCTCTTGGCTAGTAGGGTGCTCAACAGACTGTTCTTGCACTGAAGGTCTCCAGCAGCTGGGATATATTTGTAAATGAGATCATAAACAGAAGTAACCCACCAGTGGCTTTTCGTAGTGCATCATTGGGACATGGGCCAACAGAGTGGCAGCATTAGGGGGTTCTGCCCTGATTTGTGCAGAAGCGGCGCTAATGCTAAATTAGCCAATTAATGCTAAATGGAATTGAACCCAAAAGTCGTTTTACCTCACTGAGGGAAAAATTAGAAGAGCTCTTTTTTTCTGAATTACCTCAAGATACGCTCTTACTCTGACACAGTATTTAAAATTCTGTAACCCACGCAGCTTACTAGGACACCTGAAGGGCTGTATTTTGTTTCAATTTAAAAGCACTTGAGCAGAAGTAAAAAAAAAACACATTTCAAATAATCAAACCAGTCAATTTACTCTGATGCTACTGCTCCACTGCAAAAGATTATTTAAATCTAATCAGAAAGACTTCCTGAAGCATCACCGTTCTCTTCAGGGAGGGAGGCTGAGAAGTGAGGGGAGGTGACGGTGGGTTTCTACAGGGAAGCCTGGACAGAATATGCTGAAAAATGAGCCCAAGGCAGCCTTGGCTACACGCTAGGACAGGGAATTGCCACTAGCCAGAAGGATTTTGGGGTGAAGGATAAAGGTGCTCTAGGATTGCGACCTCTCTGCAGGAGAGAATGTTCTTGAGCACTGGGTGTGCTGCGCAGCGAATGACTGCCTCTTCCCTCCAGCTTATGCCTGTGGCTTCCCAAAACCCGAGCTTGCAAGATGGAGCTATCGCTCCCACCTGGGCCGAGTTAGTTACCTCCAGCAGGTCCAACGCGCAGAACAGCAGCTAACCCTGCTGATGCCGCTTTCAGGTTATCTCAGGGGCAGGCAGGGTACGGAGGCAAAAAACAACTCTGGGTTTCTAATGCTGTCGAAGGTTAGTCCTACTTTGATATAAAAAAAAATCACCTTTGAATTGCCTTTGCCATTGTCTTTTTTCCATACTTTCAGGGACACACAAATTTATTTTTTTTTGTCAAGACTCTCATTTCAGAAAGTGCTAAATGATCTTTAACCTACCGCAGTGACCCCTCGCCATGTTTATAGTGCTGAAATCCCCATGACTGTATGCAAAATTATTTCAGAATTTGATGGACAAGGGGGAGACACTTTGAAAACAAGAAAAAAGCCAGAAGCCTGCCCTTTATCGTACATAATATTTGAGGCCTCAAATGTTTTCCAGTGCTGGGCTTTCCAAGGCTGGTAAAAGCTATTGCCTGGTATTTATCTCAACAAATTAAACTTAAGCTATTCCTTTAGCTGTGGGATCTCCAATTCCCCACTTGCAAATATTGTTCAATATCTAGATTTAGATTTTTAAATATACTAAAGGTCAAGTAAAAAAGAAGCCCTGAAACGCAAGAAATGGGATAACTGGCGAGAGCGTTGTTACCCTCCCAAATGTATCAGGAGCACGTGCTCTTCACAAACACCACCTCTCTTTCCTGCAGGAATCCCTTGGCACATGCAGAGATAACGTTCCAACATTTTTCATGCGTTCTGCAAACTGCACATTTTATGACAAGCCACTGGGAGGGGTGGGGGGTGGCAGGGGGAAAGGGGAGGAGCAGGGAACATCTGGGAAGGCATACCTCTAACCACATCTGTCTCACAGCCAGCTTCCCCATCCCGACCAGGACAGCAGAAGAGGCCACTGACCCCAGCCCTGGGAGAGACAGTTGCTAAGATTCACTCATTATCAGTCAATGCACCAGACCAAAAACTTAAGACCTCCGCTTCAGAAGTTTGGGGAAGTAACTAAACCAATCCAGGAATATCAGCAACTCCGGTACTTTTTGCTAAAGACACTTTTTTCACTCCAAAGGTGATATAAGGAAATGCTTGCTTTAAGAACATCCATTGCCACTGAGGGTATTGTATGTGGGAGAGAGAGCTGTAGTTAAAGAGGGGAAAAAATAAAATAAAATAAAAAATAAAGGTTGCAAGTCCAGTACAAACTTCAGGAGTTAACCCTTCAAGACGTGCCAGTTTTGCAGCAATAGCAGTAGCCCAAGACCAATGCAAAGCCTGGGCCTGCACAGAGCATCAGCGTTCTGGGAGTACCCAGCCTCTCGGAAACATCAAGAACACCAACAATAATCATGTACAACATTTTATTACAAAATTGTTAAAAAAGTAATACAATGCAATATACTACAAAATATAAGATCAGCTATTAAGCTACCTCCTTTGTTTTACTTAGCTATAAAGAAACACCTGGCTATCAGTCACTGAATTTCAACAAAACCATTAAATATGCAGAAACATTCCACAACTTTTTTTTTTTTTTTTAACCAAACTGTAGCAGCCCTCGGCTGCTACTTACATTAAAAATAGAGGTCTCCCTACAAAGAACCACATTACCTATACACAATTCTGTACAGATTTTTATACTGAAGCTAACAATGAGCTGCACTTGAGTTCACATTCTTAGCAAAATATTGGATTCTGAGCATAAATCTTTACAGCAGGACATTCATTTATTCCTCATCCTCATCTTCTTCCTCCTCTTCATCATCTTCCTCCTCTTCCTCCTCCTCCTCTGGTTCTGCTTTCTTCTTAGATCCTGCAGGCCTACCTGGGCCCTTTTTTCCTGCGTCGCTCTTGCTCTTGGCACGATATGCTGCAATATCCTGCAAGAAACATTGCCAGCAACTAAATGGCGTTTAACTCTGAAGAGAAGTTTGTACTGCTTCCATGACTTAATGCTACACCGTGCCGATGAAGCACAGAGCGTGTGCGGAAAAGCAGGGTTTCAACCACCTTGGGAACTTTCATGCTTATGCCTTTTTGGCAAGAGAACGCGTGAACCAGTTTTAAGAATTTTATGAACACAGTGCTTTGGAGTATGGCTGTGTATTTTTTTCTGAGCAGTTCTCTGGAAATAAAGCATCTTATTGATAAAATGTCTAGACACCTAAAAACCCCATCCAGGTTCGCTGTAAGGGTTCCAGGTACCTCCCACGCCACACCTTTCCACGCATCCTGAAGCCTAGCAAAGGCTGACATTTAGAGTTATGAACCCTCTCTGGTTTAGGTGCAAAACAAAAGTCATACGTTCACAGTGACCTCTACAAGTTTAACCGTTATTTCATCGCTTTCACTCTACCTTTTCGTATTTCTCCTTTAGTTTTGCAGCCTTCTGTTCATATGGCTGTTTATCTTTGGCTGACTGTTCAGACCACATTTCTCCTAATTTCTTTGCTGTATCTCCAATAGACAAGCCAGGGTGATCATTTTTGATTTTTGGACGATGCTCGGAACAGAAAAGGAAGAACGCAGATCTAAAATGAGAGACAGTGATTAAAATTAAGCATCAGACTATTAGAAGTAATGCTTCCCCCCCACCTCGCCCGTCACAGAAACACTCACGGTGGTCTTTTAGGAGCATTGGGGTCCTTTTTCTTTCCCTTCTTCTCGCCTTTGGGAGGAACGTAGTTTTTCATCTCCCTGTCGTAACGAGCTTTGTCTCCTTTAGCCATTTCTTCAAACTTGCCTTTTTCCTTGCTAGACATTGTCTGCGGACAGGCGGAGGGGAAGGGAGAAGAGCCTGGGTCAGATAAAGCGCCGGGTGACCCACTAACGCCTAAGCAGCAGCTGCTGCCGGGGATCCTTTCCCAGCAGCCCGCGGCGGGGGCGGGGGCCGGGCCGGCAGGGCTCAAGGCGGGCGGCTGGGCCCGGCCCCGCTCACCTTCCACCGCTCCGAGCACTTCCGCGAGAACTCGGCGAAG